CATATATATATTTTACTATATATATATATATATATATATGCGTAAATATATATATATATATATATGCGTATGTATATATATATGTATACATATATGCGTATACATTTATATATGCGAATACATAAATATGTGTTTATATATGCGTATACATATAGTGATTGCGTATTGGATGCGGTGGTTCTAATATAATAATCTGGTTTATAAAAGATCAATATTATTGGGTTTGGAGTTTATATACCTTATATCTTTTTTTTATAGCACAAATTATTTTTGAATTTTTGAAATTAGTATCAGATAATATCTTCACAATTATGTAGATAACAAATTACAATTCTCCACAGGTTTGAAGTCTCGACTCTCAGGTCGAGAAGGCTTTTAGAGAGACAATTCAAGAGGGCCATAATAAATGCGAACTTTTGAATTATATTGAATATAGTATTAATTCCAATGAGAGATCGGAATTGGAGACTGAAGTTTCCTCTTCTACGCTTTCATTGGTTAGTTTACGACATACCTGATCTCGAGTCTGACACTCCGAATCTCCTACCCATACCGTAGTGACCGTAATAATCAATATATTCTAGCGTCATTTGCATGTGGGAGTAAATACTTTTCCCTTGTATTTACATATCACTTTTTGGTTAAAGGTCATAGAGACATAAAAAGCCTCATATAATTCTGAATTTTAAATTTAACAGAAGCCTTTGAAAAAAGGCAGCAAGAGTGGATTTTTGATTTTTGTTTTAAGAAACATTGTTTGAAATTGTTTTTTCTTTTTACATATGTATATATATATATAAAACCGACAATACTCAATAGTCTACTGGAAATTGAATTTTTAGCAGGCTACGAAACAGAGAGAAAATTCAAGATAGAAAACTTGTATTGTTGACATATAATATATTTGTATTTGATTTGTACGCATTTATTGTCCTACTTTGTCGTGTTTTAGAATACTCCTAAGTACAGCAGAGTATCAGTGGGGAGTCCGGGACTCTGGGGACTCACTCATCACTCGGGGGGAGTGGGGAGAGAAGCTCACAGGAGAGTCTAAAACTCTTAAATATTGTATTTGTTTTTTAAAAAGCATCATGTACAGTTCATTAAAAGTTCATTTTTTAAAATAGCGTTTAGTGTCAACGACTCCAGAGTCCTGAGTCTAAACTCCATACTCCGAAGCAATAATCAATATGCTCGTCTTTTTTTATATAGTTGATTTTTTTGTCCATTGAAATTTAGTTGCATTTTTGCATAGCCGCATAAAAGTTCCCCATGGCCCTGTGCCATGTGGCCTGTGCCCCTGGCTCCTTTTTATTTTATTTTGAAATTTGAGTGTACCTGCCTTACTCAGATTTCAATAAAAATATCGCGCGACAGTGGCTTTTTGTTCGCACCTATTTATATGATTCGCTAGAAATTACTGGATTCCAATAGAAATTAGCATTGTGCTGATGGAATTCGAGAATCGATGTTTTATTTTAAACTTTTTGCTGTTTTTATTAAAAACAAACAAAATATTCTGAGAGATCGAATTGTCGACACTCGTTACAGACTCGACACACACGGACACACCTACAGACTGACAGTCCGACAGAGTGTCGAACACATTGTCAAGTGTCAAGTGTCAACACTCATTCATTCTCTCTACTAGTAGTTGTAATGCAACTAACTAGTAGTAGTAGCATGATGATGGGCCCTGCCCATCGCTAGAAGTATAGTATGTATGTAAATATTGTTGCTGAATTTTATAATCGCAGGGTGAAGTCTAAAAGAACAACTTCATCAGAAAACATGGGATATTCAGCCACTGATATAGCGAAGGTCGAAGAATAGATGCTTAGAACCCGGTACGACACCGCACGCGCTTCGGTCAAAGGGATTCCGGCACATAAAAAATAATAGGTATTATAACGGTTCGAGATAATACATCGTTATAATTCGATTAAGACACCAATTTCAGATCGAGTATATTAGTCCTTAACCGGTCCTGGGGTGAATAGAATAAGCGGCTATAAGGGAACTACTATCCGCATCGTGGTAATACTGGCCACCACAGATGTTTCCCGGGCCGCTTTCTTCGGAGGATCCTTCGCTGCTGTTGTTGTAACTGTTTTTGCTACTGCTGTTGAAACTATTTGTGTAGCCCGTACCACTATTTTGTTTGTTGTTGCCAGTGGTATGGTGCAAATTCCGATTCTGATTACCCGGACCGTACACCATATTCGCAGTCTCATTGTGTTTTCCATGCATGTCATTACGAATATAACTATGGCTGCGTTCCGATGCGTACGCGGAATCCGCACCCATTCGTTCATTCGTATAATTCAATCCGAAGAAGTCCATTTGCCGAGCAGGATATCCTACGTGTTGGACCTGAACGTGATCCTGACCAGCAGTTTTCACATGCGCATCATGGAACGGTTTGAACTCATTAATGTGACCGAGGTGTAAGAATTCAGTAGAAGAAACCCCCTGTGCCTGTACATTGTGTCCATAGGCGAATTGTGGCAGGACCTGTTCGTGATCATAAATTTGAGTTGCCGGAAAGATAGCAGCTGATAATGTACCTGGTTGATGACCATGGCCTTGTCGAACTGGCTTCTGATTAGAACACGTACATTGTACTTTTTGGCCTGAATCTGTGCTCCCGTCACTACTACTACAGCTCCCTTGAGCCTGCGTTTGTAAATGTGACCGTGCGTACTGATCTGTGTTTGCATTTTCGTTAAAAACCGTCGCTCTCCCTTTGCCCTGACTATGATCCGCTATCTGGTGATGACTTCTCTTCCACCCCTGCACATGGGCAAAGTTCTGATGTTGTACCCCACCCCATTGATGTGCATTGTGAAGCTGCTGAGTATTAGCTTGTACAACAGCGTGCTGTTGAGTACCCACATTCTGCTGCTGAGGGACGATTTTTTGTTGGTCGTTGTTCTGCTGTTGAGCAGGATTCTGGAACGCAGAATAATCTTGTGGAAAACTATGGCGCATACCGTTCATTTCGGAACTTGTACCACCACTCTGGTGGTTTCCAGTTTGGTAGACAGTCGCTTCTGCTACTACATCAACCGTGTTCGCCCGATTTCTCTTGCGCGATGGTTTGTGACCATCCCCTGAAATAAGTCCTCTTGATTGAACTTGGCCTTCCTTTTGTGTTTGGCCACTCTGTTTGTAATGGTGCCTATGATGACTTGTCTGATACTTATGCCCGATATTCATAGTTGGCTTACGATTAGAGTACGCGCTGTGTTGTACTCCTGACAAACTTTGTTGACTAGAATACCCTCCGGAGAAATCCTGAGCTGAATTATATCCAGTTGTGAATCGCCGTTTAGGTCCAGAAGACAGTGACTGATCGCTTGTAGCCTCAGGGTCGACACCGAAGACTGACATCGGCAGAGAACTCCTTTGAGAATGCGAATGAGAATGCGAATGTGCATGAACATGAACATGAGTATGTGGCGGTCGCGGCTGCTGTTGCTGTTGCTGATGTTGATGTTGAGGCTGTGTAGCTTCAACAGCGATCATCAATTGCCCATCGGTTGCTCTGCGAACACACATGGGCTGAGCAATATGCAGGGGTTGCGTCATCATTTGTGGTTGGCCTTTCATCGTGTGTTGAGTATTTATCATCATTGTTTCTCGCATCTGATGAGTTTGGACCATAACTGATTGTGACTGTATTGGGGCTGTACCTTGAAACTCCATTGGGCCTTGGGAGGTCTGCACGATCGACCCGGTCTGATTCTGTTGTACTGCATCGCTATTAGAGTGCATCGCACCCATAACCAACACAGACATAACAGACATCGAGCCTGACGATTGGATAGGAACTAAATTCTGAGTCCCTCCAGTATTGTGCTTCTTTTTCATCTCTGTAAAAATATCTCCTTGTTTATGTTTAAGGCGATAGTGCAGCCAACGCGCGTGATGCGATGCGTAAGCCCGTCCACAGCGATCGTACTCGCAGGCAAACGACTTCTTTAACTCCGAATTTTTCCGACGCGTTCTAACTACTTTGTCTTTAGAGACTTCACTGTCTCCGTCTACACCACTATTTGCCTCCACGACTGTCATGGCCTCGTTATCGGTCTTCGAGTCGGCACCCTGAAAAATCACGCCATTCTGAGGAGAAATACTCTTCAAACTATCCTCTTCGCTAATGCCATCATGAGTTGGTTCTTGGCTAGTCTCCTGACTCCTATGATCTCGTGACTCGGCCGATGTCCCTTGAGAATCTGAGCTTATATTATCTGTCACGTGTGTGATGGAAGCTGTACATACATTCTGCTGAGAAAGCGATTTGGATCCAGATCCGCCGGACCCAGAACCAGAACCAGAACCAGAGCATCCTCCATCTGACCCCGATCTAGAACTCACAGCTAGAACTGGTTCATCACTGGAATCATCAGGGCTCAAAGTTCTTTTGTTAGTACCAGCCCATGACTGATTGTCTTTATATTCATTGTATGCCATCAGTTTCTCTAACGTCCTTGTTAAGTGACGATTGCGACTTCATGGGATTTCCTGTTATAGTTACTTATTAGAACTGAAACTGGTTGAGTTCATGAGAAATTTCGCTTATGAACGACTGTTGTATGTGTCTGCTATGTCTGACCAATTTCCCTATTGCTTTCGTATTATAAATACCGTTTGCCGTGTGCGTTTTGCAAGCGTAATTATATCTTAAATTTTATATTGTGAAAACAACAGGTCAAAGAGTGTGGTATATATATAAAACTATTCAGAAGATATCTCGCTTTCGCGAATATCACAGTAGTCAGTGCTATAGAAATAATTACAAGTTTGACACAAATGATAAAAATTCTCGACAAAATAAAATCCGAGTCTTGGCAAAGTAGAGAGCATACCTGTATTGTTTTTTTAAAACAATAAACAGGTTCGTCCGAAATAAAATGGATTTTTCTTAAAAAATGTACAAAAATCTAATCGATAGCTGGAGGCCTGGAGCTACCGTGTCATTATTATGTATCGATCTGTACGTTTTCTTATTGCATTTTGGGAAAGCACATGATTCTTTTTTCTCAAATAAGAATCTGAACCCAATTCCTATTTAAAATCACTTAACCCAAAATCGGCAGAATCCAGAACTTAATCCCATTTTTTCGTTACGTGAATATTAATTTTAAGAATAGGATATTAATCGTGTCAAAGCGGTGGTTCTTAAAATAATAAATTCCTAACGCGTACTTCCTATTTCTTTTAAAAACAAATATTCAGTAAAAATATGGGATTCTGTGTAGCCTACGGCCCAACGGATATTTATTTTTAAAACGGGCCGGTGACCTGTCCACTAACCACACCCCTGTCGCCCAGAGTGCCAGCCTGCCAGCCCAGCTATTCTCAAGCTGTTCTTGTTTTGTTTTGTTTTTTAAAAGAAACAAAAACCAATAACCATAGCCTCCTAAATTGTGCAAAATCACCTTTTTCTAGATGAATAAAATTCTTTATTATAGATGGCTTATGTTCTATGAGATTGAACAATTAAAAAAATGCTTATT